AATACCCGTATTCCCGCGTGCGTCTTTGGGTAACCCGAAGACAAAATCCATTGAGATGGATTCCCAGCACTCAGCCGGAACCGGTAGAGGCTGTAAAGGTTCACGCAGTGAAGGACTTGACTTCACTCGTTGCCAGACTTCGCATGCGCGAACATACTTTCGCACAAACTGATAATGGCGGGGCCAGTAAAAGTCTCGACTCACCGTGAAATATGTTTTCTCCCGGCCACGATGTCCTCCAATAGGAGCATCGTGATACTCGAACATGATCCGCAAACGCAGATCAGTATCATCTGGAATGACAACACGTGGTGTGTCACCAGAAACGGCTGTATAATACAGTAAACCGTTACGAGTAGTGTATCGATCTGATGCAGATCGATACGCAGGCGACAATCGTTTCAACGATTCTCGAGATGGTTGGGAGAGATGTGTCAACAACTTCACAATCTCACCATCATGGGCGTATGCCCGCCTCACATCATCGTACAACGTTGTAGATGGGACTGAGGACGTCATAACCGCAACAGTGACTGTCTCACTGTTGGGTTTCACGACTGGTTCAAAGTCGGGACGACGTGAGAGTGCATCAGAGACGACATTAAGTCGTCCTGGTTTGTACTCGACCGTAAAGTTGTATTCTGCAAAGAATGACAACCACCGCGCCATTCGTTGTGAAAGGTGCGGGCTGTTCACTGCCGTGCGTAATGACGCATGGTCAGTGTAAACAATGAAGGGTATATCTCCTAATAGATAGACTCTGAACTTCGCGAGTGCGTACTTCATGGCAAGGAGTTCCTTGTCATGCACTGGATAGTTCCGCTCAGCTGGTTGCAGCTGACGCGACTGATAGCAGACGACGCGTTCAACGCCTTCAAGGTCGTACTGCATTAATGCACAGCCGATTGCGAAATCGCTGGCATCACAGACCACATGAAATGGCCTGTCTTGATCGGCTATTGCTAGGACTGGGGATTGTATTAAGCTTTGCTTGATACCATCAAAGGAGCGCTGACATTCAGCGTTCCATAACTACCTCTCGTTCTTTTTCAACAAACGAGAGAGGTGCACAGTCATCTCGGCGTAATTGCGTGAATACTTATGCAAATACGCCGCTAGCCCAAGAAATTTTCGAAGACCTTTGACATCGACCGGCACAGGCCAGTCGGTGATCGCCTTGATCTTTTCTGGATCAGGACGTACACCGTTCTTACCAACGATGCACCCAAGAAGTGGTATTTCGCTTGCTGCAAATATACACTTCTTGAGATTGGCATACAATTAATGCTTTCGCATGATTGTAAGAACCTGTTGGACGTGGTATCTGTGAACCTCAACGTCCGACTTTCCATCCATAGCCCGACTATGGATGAAGACGTCATCGAAATAACTCGGTGCGAATTATCGCACTGGTCTTCACAGATGTGATACACATCCGTTGAACGTGGCAGGGGCATTACTAAGCCCTTGTGGCATTACTAGCCATTCCCAGAGCATGCCGCTAGGCGTGCTAACTGCGGTATAGGGTATATCCCGTTCCCGCATAAGGATTTGATAGAAGCCATCCATCATATCCACGGACGAAAAGATGGTTCTCTTTGACATACCATCAATGATTACGTCCTTCCTCGGTATCGGCGTCTGAGCCGGTACCGTTGCAGCATTCAATTTGTTGAACGCGTGCACTATCCGCCACCCTCATGTTGCTTTTCGCACACAGAAGGTCGGAGAGCTATGTGGGGAAGTTGATTCCCTCACATGGCCCGCAGCTAAACGATCGGCAAAGAACTTGTCGATCGCAAGTACTTGTTCACGAGGCAGTGGCCACTGCTTCATGACACAGTACTTCGAGCCTGTTTTAAGCTCGACCTCGTGTCGAATACCTTTATCCTTCGGTAACTCGCACGGAACAGTTTCAGGGAATACATCCTTGAATTCAACCAAATCTTCATAGAGAGGATTTTTCTTGAGCGATTCCCACGATTGGGAGTCATATCACTCAATTCGTGTCTTTTCATCTAGGACACTCTCGTCCATAGATGAACTACTGAGAACTCTCTCGTTCTCAGTAAACACTGTTGCTGACCTTATGTCGGCTAAACACTCGTCGTCAGCGTCGAGTACGCAGATCTGCTTGACTTTGCCACTACGCAGATCACGCAAGAACCTTTTATGTTCGAGCGTTGGCAACTGAGTGATCTCCGAAGTTAACTTCGGAGGCGCAATCAGATCAAGTGTATAAGCGCCTACACTTGATCCGTTATTGGCTAGGAAATTCAATGTCTCCGTCATTTCCTGGGGACTTATTCCCTCAGGCTTCGAAGGACTTATTCCTTCGGCTTCCCGGGGACTTATTCCCGCGGGTTTCGGGGAACTTATTTCCGCCGTATTTGTAATCTTGGGACTTATTCCCTTTACTTCCTCTAGCTGGGGTTGCGCAACCACAGCGAGATCCTCTACGAAAGACTCTCCAGTCGATCTAGGATTATCGTTTCGCTTAACCTGAGCGATCGATCGTTTCTCTTCTAGATGTTCCCCGCTAGGGATACATCTTTGTCCCAGTCCACCCGACTTATTCGAGTGGTGGACCTTCGGCGCAGCCTGTGTTTCCTCACAGCCGCCGGAACTTTGCTCCGAAGTGTAACCGTTTGGTGCATTAAGGTTTTGTGCAGTCGTACTAACGACCGTACCACAATTGAGGCCATCGCACTCACTCGCAGTACATCCACACGCTTGTGGACGCTCCAAAACGTTCATCAGATGGCCATCTGATGAACAAGCGGCAGGCATCGTTACTGTTCGATGTTGCCAGTTTACCCGTGGTTCGTACCTTCTGAGCCACGGTATTCCAAGGATGACATCAAATTTGTCATCGAAATCCAATACGATAAAATCATCATCATATTGGGTATCTTTATAGTGAATCTTCACTATACGCTTCGTGACGGTTACGGATGCGCCTGTCGCAAGACGTACCGCCTTCCTCGTAGGAGGTGTGTCACATTTACTGAACCTGAAGTGACCATCTTCTAGCGATCGGCGTCGCACAAAATTGTTGGACGCCCCACAATCGACTAGAGCTCGAAGGGACAACTTATTCGTCACTTCGAGTTTCAAGTTAATGAGTGAGATCTCATTACCTAGAGCAGCAACGCACAACGTTTGTGTGTTGGGAGCAACCTTCGTCAAGAGGCCTACAAATTCTCTTGACGTTGCTGGACCAGTAGGGTGCTCCGCACCTACTGATCCTGTCCGTTTTTTGACGGTCCATCACGTTGTTGCGTCTTTGCACCAACTGCGGACCCTCATCCCTGCCCCTTTCTCATGGGTGGACGGTCACTACGCCCAGTGTCGCGAGACACTGGACGAGGGGCACTACACTCGTAAGCGTTGTGTCCTGTTTTTTGACATCTGTTGCATCTATGCAACTTCTTGTAGCCTGTAGAGCGAGCCTTCTCGCTCTCTACATAACAGAGTTCCATCGGCTCTGGACCTCCGCTGTCATATCATCTCGGTTGACGATATGATGTCGAGCTGGCGAGAGCCTGTCTCAGACTGAAGTCTTCCTGCTCCGCAATGGAAATGGCTTGTTCTAGCGAATCTAGTTCAAGTCGGAACAGGTGAGTCTTGACGGGACCATCCGCAAGACCCTGCATGAACACCGAAACCAACGTGTGTTCGTCAACCGGGTTGGAACGTATGTAACTCGTGAGATGTCGTATATGCTGCGCGTAAGCGTGCACATCACGCTTACCCTGCTTGAGCTTCAAGAGTTCGGTTCGAGCTCTGAACTCAGCTCTAGGCGGTTCAAACGTTTGTCTGAGCCGCGACTTGAAGACTTCTAACGACCCAAACGCATATGGGTCGTGCAACTTGAGCCCCAGTGCCCAAGTCTTGGCACGTCCTGCCAGATTTGACTGGGCAAATGCAACTTGCATATCCCCGTCGTTGATGCGACGCGCTTTATGGCGTCATCCAATTCGACGAACCATATCAAGAGGGAGTCCTCTTCGACTCCCCTGTACTTGGAGATGTCAATCTTCAAGGTTTCGGGTCGACGCGAGTGCATCGACCCGCCAGCAGCAGCCTGCTGCTGTCTCAACAGTTCAAACTGTTGAGCACCCTGTTCTCTCAACAACTCTGCTTGTTGAGAACCTTGTTGGTGATGCAAGGCTACTTTCTCGCGTTCAGCGTCAAGTTCATTTTGAATGAACTTGGCGATAGTAGCATGTTGGGCATCTCTATTGAGAGCCTCTAGCATGACGCTAACAGCATGGATGCCCATGGTTGAACCCATCCGTTCAACCGCATCCCTTTCAACATCGCTCAAATGGGAGTAGCCTTCACGCGTAGCGTGAAAGCTTTGGTCATCTTCATCATCTAACATATTCATGTTAGATGTGAACGTGGTCCTTGGACGGACTACAAAGTGCTACCAGGTGTAACGGGGCACCCTGAAGCTTGCACTGGTGACAGTACAAGCTACTTATTTTGATGACAGAATAAGGCGGTGCCTCGGAACTTCACGTACACTCGTACGTGCAGAGGAAGACGGTAAGAAGAAGCGAGTACTTGGTCAAAGTAAAAAGTAGAGCTGTATTTATCATAGTTAATGTCTGCAATAAATCACTATTTATCTACATCTAACTATTTCTAAATACAAATGTGTAAATCAATTATCTGCTCACCACTCATTGCGTGCGTCTGTCGTGGCGCGTCTTCGTTGGTTGATATAATGGCCTACATCAACCAATTAGGAACTACTCGTAAGTGCTACAGAATATTTGTCCTTATGACAATATTCTGAGAATATAACTCTTATAGTTATATTCTATTAACAATTTCTTATAAATTGTTGTGTAACGATTCACCCCGTTGCATCACCCCCCCTAACCATCAGTCACTTTAGTGACTGATTGACTAAATGGACTCTCGTCCCAAATCATTTGGGACAGGGTTTGCACTTGTTGGTCCGAGTCCACTTTCCAACGATTCATCGCATGGTTAACAAGTACATGCGGTGCGCGAGCAAGGCCGCTGAGAGCGCGTCTGCACGCCTCTGTGCGGACGCCGAAGCAGAAACCGCAGCAACTAATGTTTCATCGGTTGCTGAAGCGACCCAACCTGTGTCACCTGGTGATGCAGGCGCTCATCATGAAGACACTCATGTCTTCACAGAGTATGAGCTCGGTGTCTCATACTCTCCTGATACGGAAGACGGATCCGTATCGACGGCGATCGAATCCAAGCCGCCTGCCCAGCGTGGCATGGATGATGCTATGCGTCGTAGCATCTTTGGTTCATCTGATTCATCAGATGAACCATCGCCGAAGCGAAGGCGCTCGAGGTCGCGAGACTCGGGCGCTAATAGTGGTGTCGGTTCTCCTATGGACACCACTTCACAGCGAGGTGCCAGTACTTCTGTCGGCACATCGCAGGAAGAGCGGGACCGCAATGTCTTGCGTCTCGCTCCCGAGAAGAAGGCATGGGTGCCTCCAAAATCTGTCATGGATCACTGTCGGCGACGACGAGTGATCGTTATCGAACACGATTGTTCGATTCGTCAAGGATCCATCACCTTGACCCCAGCGCGAAAAACTATCGCGCTGAGAATGAATTCTTCATCGATGCTTTCTTCAGACATCGATGGTACAGTGGGAATCACAAACGTGATGGCCCCTCACTTCTTCAAGCGTGGAACGCTCACACCCATAACCTTGAGGATGTAGGTCGTGACGCTTGGAACGACAAACTTATCAAATCTCGTGATGAGTTTGAAAAGCGAACCCCTACAGGTGCACGCTACAAGCTGCATCGTCTGTCTGGGGAGAAAGGGTTACCCTGCCTCTCATGGGGAGACTCGTGCCCATGTTGTGTGAACAACTCTGCACGAGCACCTAAGGAGGCTTACCTCCTTACTAGCCCGTGGCGGCACGTACGTATCTCTACTGAGATGTACGAAGGGATTAACAGCCTTAAATTCCTTTACGACCGTGCCAAAAGACTTTCTCCGGCGGTCCTTCTGCGACACAGGATGTGCCGCGTCGTACTGCTCGACCAGACCCAGTACGCCAGCCATCAGTTGGGAGCGGGGCTCCCAAGTATCCCAGGACGGGGGATAGCCGCGCCACCGGACGAGATAACTCGTCCGACGTCCGTTCACGTCGCGGTGGTTCAACAGCTGCTCAACCAGATAGCGCTGGCCACCGCGAGAGTCCTCTAATGGAGGTGGAGGAGGAGGGAAGACGCTCTCCACACGATCGTGGGGAAGCGTGTGTTCCCGAGAGCTTCTTTGATCGCGTAACGCAAGGGTTACGCGGCGATCTCGAACATGAGCGGGACAGGCGTCTCCAAATGGCGGACACTGTCTCAAGGCATCGAGCTGAGTTTGCCTTTGCTCAGCTTGAGAACGAGAGCGCTCTGACGTCTCTGCGTGACGAGCTAAGGGTAGCTCGTGGGACTGTTGATCGGTCTCGGGATGAGGTAGCTGCTCTTCATATCCTTGTTGATGCCCACCATCGGGAGCACAAGGCTCTCTGCGAGATGCTTGAGCGCAAGAGCGTTCTTCATCGGAAGAAGCAGCGTACTGATGGTACGGCTTAAGCCGACTAACGTAAAACGTGGGACGCGTTCGCATCTTACGTGGCAACTCGATCATGTACACATTGCCTAGGCGGTGCAATACACGAAATGGGCCGATGTACTTGGGTAGTAGTTTACTGCTACCCAAGTTAGTCACTACATGCTTTGGTAGATTAACCGTAGACAGTAGGACTAAGTCACCTTTATTAAATAAAAGAGTGTTTGCCCTTCCATTCTTGTCAGCGTTTTGCTTTTGCTTATCCACCGCTTCGGCGATGGAGTCTTGCACAAAACGGACTACCGTTTCACGAGCCAGTATGAACTCATCTGATGACTCGTTAGCTTCAGTGCGCTGTGAGCACTGCAGCGACATCAATCTTTTCTTCAGTGAGCGCCTCCTCGCTCTCACTGGCATCATCTTCTTCGATATCGATGTTATCGATATCGGCATCAAACGCAGTGACCTCATCGTCAGAGAGTGATGAGCGTGAACCAAATCGGTTTTTGCTCGCGCGAGTCCCCCCCCTTAAACCAGAGTTACACTCTAGTAAGGTGGGTACACGCGGATGGCGCAAGCCATTCACGTAAAACGGTGTATGTGTCGTGGACGCATGCACCAGTTGTTAATGGCAAACTCTACCATGAGCAAGAACTCACTCCAACTCTTAAAGGAGTGTATGTATCCTCGAAGTATCTCTTCAAGGACACGATTGGCTCGTTCCGTCTGACCATCTGACTCTGGATGATCAGATGTCGACATCTTAAGCGCGTTCCGAGTGATTTGAACACGGACTGCCAGAAATCAGCGGTGAAGCGTGGATCTCTGTCTGCTTCGAGTTCACGGGGCAACCCATGAAGTCGGAAGATGGTGTCAATAAAGACACAAGCACAGCCACTTGCCGTGATTGACTCTGGTACAGCCACAAGGTGTACCATTTTGCTGAATCGGTCAACAAATACGAGAATACCCGTATTCCCGCGTGCGTCTTTGGGTAACCCGAAGACAAAATCCATTGAGATGGATTCCCAGCACTCAGCCGGAACCGGTAGAGGCTGTAAAGGTTCACGCAGTGAAGGACTTGACTTCACTCGTTGCCAGACTTCGCATGCGCGAACATACTTTCGCACAAACTGATAATGGCGGGGCCAGTAAAAGTCTCGACTCACCGTGAAATATGTTTTCTCCCGGCCACGATGTCCTCCAATAGGAGCATCGTGATACTCGAACATGATCCGCAAACGCAGATCAGTATCATCTGGAATGACAACACGTGGTGTGTCACCAGAAACGGCTGTATAATACAGTAAACCGTTACGAGTAGTGTATCGATCTGATGCAGATCGATACGCAGGCGACAATCGTTTCAACGATTCTCGAGATGGTTGGGAGAGATGTGTCAACAACTTCACAATCTCACCATCATGGGCGTATGCCCGCCTCACATCATCGTACAACGTTGTAGATGGGACTGAGGACGTCATAACCGCAACAGTGACTGTCTCACTGTTGGGTTTCACGACTGGTTCAAAGTCGGGACGACGTGAGAGTGCATCAGAGACGACATTAAGTCGTCCTGGTTTGTACTCGACCGTAAAGTTGTATTCTGCAAAGAATGACAACCACCGCGCCATTCGTTGTGAAAGGTGCGGGCTGTTCACTGCCGTGCGTAATGACGCATGGTCAGTGTAAACAATGAAGGGTATATCTCCTAATAGATAGACTCTGAACTTCGCGAGTGCGTACTTCATGGCAAGGAGTTCCTTGTCATGCACTGGATAGTTCCGCTCAGCTGGTTGCAGCTGACGCGACTGATAGCAGACGACGCGTTCAACGCCTTCAAGGTCGTACTGCATTAATGCACAGCCGATTGCGAAATCGCTGGCATCACAGACCACATGAAATGGCCTGTCCTGATCGGCTATTGCTAGGACTGGGGATTGTATCAAGCTCTGCTTGATACCCTCAAAGGAGCGTTGACATTCAGCGTTCCATAACCACCTCTCGTTCTTTTTCAACAAACGAGAGAGGTGCACAGTCATCTCGGCGTAATTGCGTGAATACTTATGCAAATACGCCGCTAGCCCAAGAAATTTTCGAAGACCTTTGACATCGACCGGCACAGGCCAGTCGGTGATCGCCTTGATCTTTTCTGGATCAGGACGTACACCGTTCTTACCATCGATGCACCCAAGAAGTGGTATTTCGCTTGCTGCAAATATACACTTCTTGAGATTGGCATACAATTAATGCTTTCGCATGATTGTAAGAACCTGTTGGACGTGGTATCTGTGAACCTCAACGTCCGAATTTCCATCCATAGCCCGACTATGGATGAAGACGTCATCGAAATAACTCGGTGCGAATTATCGCACTGGTCTTCACAGATGTGATACACATCCGTTGAACGTGGCAGGGGCATTACTAAGCCCTTGTGGCATTACTAGCCATTCCCAGAGCATGCCGCTAGGCGTGCTAACTGCGGTATAGGGTATATCCCGTTCCCGCATAAGGATTTGATAGAAGCCATCCATCAAATCCACGGACGAAAAGATGGTTCTCTTTGACATACCATCAATGATTACGTCCTTCCTTGGTATCGGCGTCTGAGCCGGTACCGTTGCAGCGTTCAACTTCGTTGAACGCGTGCACTATCCGCCACCCTCATGTTGCTTTTCGCACACAGAAGGTCGGAGAGCTATGTGGGGAAGTTGATTCCCTCACATGGCCCGCAGCTAAACGATCGGCAAAGAACTTGTCGATCGCAAGTACTTGTTCACGAGGCAGTGGCCACTGCTTCATGACACAGTACTTCGAGCCTGGTTTAAGCTCGACCTCGTGTCGAATACCTTTATCCTTCGGTAACTCGCACGGAACAGTTTCAGGGAATACATCCTTGAATTCAACCAAATCTTCATAGAGAGGATTTTTCTTGAGCGATTCCCACGATTGGGAGTCATATCACTCAATTCGTGTCTTTCATCTAGGACACTCTCGTCCATAGATGAACTACTGAGAACTCTCTCGTTCTCAGTAAACACTGTTGCTGACCTTATGTCGGCTACACACTCGTCGTCAGCGACGAGTACGCAGATCTGCTTGACTTTGCCACTACGCAGATCACGCAAGAACCTTTTATGTTCGAGCGTTGGCAACTGAGTGATCTCCGAAGTTAACTTCGGAGGCGCAATCAGATCAAGTGTATAAGCACCTACACTTGATCCGTTATTGACTAGGAAATTCAATGTCTCCGTCATTTCCTGGGGACTTATTCCCTCAGGCTTCGAAGGACTTATTCCTTCGGCTTCCCGGGGACTTATTCCCGCGGGTTTCGGGGAACTTATTTCCGCCGTATTTGTAATCTTGGGACTTATTCCCTTTACTTCCTCTAGCTGGGGTTGCGCAACCACAGCGAGATCCTCTACGAAAGACTCTCCAGTCGATCTAGGATTATCGTTTCGCTTAACCTGAGCGATCGATCGTTTCTCTTCTAGATGTTCCCCGCTAGGGATACATCTTTGTCCCAGTCCACCCGACTTATTCGAGTGGTGGACCTTCGGCGCAGCCTGTGTTTCCTCACAGCCGCCGGAAGTTTGCTCCGAAGTGTAACCGTTTGGTGCATTAAGGTTTTGTGCAGTCGTACTAACGACCGTACCACAATTGAGGCCATCGCACTCACTCGCAGTACATCCACACGCTTGTGGACGCTCCAAAACGTTCATCAGATGGTCATCTGATGAACAAGCGGCAGGCATCGTTACTGTTCGATGTTGCCAGTTTACCCGTGGTTCGTACCTTCTGAGCCACGGTATTCCAAGGATGACATCAAATTTGTCATCGAAATCTAATACGATAAAATCATCATCATATTGGGTATCTTTATAGTGAATCTTCACTATACGCTTCGTGACGGTTACGGATGCGCCTGTCGCAAGACGTACCGTCATCCTCGTAGGAGGTGTGTCACATTTACTGAACCTGAAGTGACCATCTTCTAGCGATCGGCGTCGCACAAAATTGTTGGACGCCCCACAATCGACTAGAGCTCGAAGGGACAACTTATTCGTCACTTCGAGTTTCAAGTTAATGAGTGAGATCTCATTACCTAGAGCAGCAACGCACAACGTTTGTGTGTTGGGAGCAACCTTCGTCAAGAGGCCTACAAATTCTCTTGACGTTGCTGGACCAGTAGGGTGCTCCGCACCTACTGATCCTGTCCGTTTTTTGACGGTCCATCACGTTGTTGCGTCTTTGCACCAACTGCGGACCCTCATCCCTGCCCCTTTCTCATGGGTGGACGGTCACTACGCCCAGTGTCGCGAGACACTGGACGAGGGGCACTACACTCGTAAGCGTTGTGTCCTGTTTTTTGACATCTGTTGCATCTATGCAACTTCTTGTAGCCTGTAGAGCGAGCCTTCTCGCTCTCTACATAACAGAGTTCCATCGGCTCTGGACCTCCGCTGTCATATCATCTCGGTTGACGATATGATGTCGAGCTGGCGCGAGCCTGTCTCAGACTGAAGTCTTCCTGCTCCGCAATGGAAATGGCTTGTTCTAGCGAATCTAGTTCAAGCCGGAACAGGTGAGTCTTGACGGGACCATCCGCAAGACCCTGCATGAACACCGAAACCAACGTGTGTTCGTCAACCGGGTTGGAACGTATGTAACTCGTGAGATGTCGTATATGTTGCGCGTAAGCGTGCACATCACGCTTACCCTGCTTGAGCTTCAAGAGTTCGGTTTGAGCTCTGAACTCAGCTCTAGGCGGTTCAAACGTTTGTCTGAGCCGCGACTTGAAGACTTCTAACGACCCAAACGCATATGGGTCGTGCAACTTGAGCCCCAGTGCCCAAGTCTTGGCACGTCCTGCCAGATTTGACTGGGCAAATGCAACTTGCATATCCCCGTCGTTGATGCGACGCGCCTATATGGCGTCATCCAATTCGACGAACCATCTCAAGAGGGAGTCCTCTTCGACTCCCCTGTACTTGGAGATGTCAATCTTCAAGGTTTCGGGTCGACGCGAGTGCATCGACCCGCCAGCAGCAGCCTGCTGCTGTCTCAACAGTTCAAACTGTTGAGCACCCTGTTCTCTCAACAACTCTGCTTGTTGAGAACCTTGTTGGTGATGCAAGGCTACTTTCTCGCGTTCAGCGTCAAGTTCATTTTGAATGAACTTGGCGATAGTAGTATGTTGGGCATCTCTATTGAGAGCCTCTAGCATGACGCTAACAGCATGGATGCCCATGGTTGAACCCATCCGTTCAACCGCATCCCTTTCAACATCGCTCAAATGGGAGTATCCTTCACGCGTAGCGTGAAAGCTTTGGTCATCTTCATCATCTAACATATTCATGTTAGATGTGAACGTGGTCCTTGGACGGACTACAAAGTGCTACCAGGTGTAACGGGGCACCCTGAAGCTTGCACTGGTGACAGTACAAGCTACTTATTCTGATGAAAGAATAAGGCGGTGCCTCGTAACTTCACGTACACTCGTACGTGCAGAGGAAGACGGCAAGAAGAAGCGAGTACTTGGTTCAAGTAAAAAGTAGAACTGTATTTATAATAGTTAATGTCTGCAATAAATCACTGTTTATCTTCATCTAACTATGTCTGAATACAAATGTGTACATCAACTATCTGCTCACCACTCATTGCGTGCGTCTGTCGTGGCGCGTCTTCGTTGGTTGATATAATGGCCTATATCAACCAATTAGGAACTACTCGTAAGTGCTACAGAATATTTGTCCTTATGACAATATTCTGAGAATATAACTCTTATAATTATATTCTACTAACAATTTCTTATAAATTGTTATGTAACGATTCACCCCGTTACAGCAGGAACCACTGTACTAAGGAAAAATTCGACATCATTGGCAATTTGGTAACGGCCACTATTTCGTTACATGTGATAGTCATGTTTTAATTTATTAATTTTTTTAATAATATTAATTTGTGTTTAAGTTGATTTATTTTTTTAAAAGATTGAAAAGTTATTCTTAAATATACGGAGCGATTACTGTATTATTTTTTTTTGTGATTATGATGTTAGATATTAATGTTTTAATAAAAAAACAATTAAATATAATTTTGGTTATTTACCTATTATTTTTTTAATTAGTTTTATTTTTTATTTCAACAAATAAATTAAATCCTGTTTTATTTTTTTTAAAAAATCATACAAATAGTCAATTTCAATTATTATCGGAAATTCGTGCCGTAGATTACTTGAATTATTTATAAATAAATTTGATTTTAACCAGGAATTTATTGAAACCTGCTTTTAAAAAATAAAGCACAAAAGTCATCGCACTCACTGGATTGTGATTGGTCGCTCGTTTCGATTTTTTTACTATTATACTCTTTTTACTATTATAAAAATACGAATTATTCCACAGGACTTTCACCTTTTTAAGTAAATTTTTCGAAATGTTTTGATTTCATATGTAGGTAATAATATTGATTTTACTTATAAAGTAAAACATTTAGGTTTAAATTTTAAAACATTACTAAAGTTTTTTTTAGGAAAACATGTATTTTGTAAAGAATTAAAAAAAACCAAAAAACCTTTAAATGCCAAAAATTATTTATTTATAGTTTTTTACAAGAATTGCTTAAATATACAAATGTTTTTAAAAAAATTAAATTAGATGAAAATTTTAAAACAAATTAATTCTTTTAGTGAAAATAAATTCATATTTCGATTATTGTTTTTAATTTATGATTGAAATATATATTAACAATTTCATTTTTTTTTATAAATTTTTATCTAATTTAAATTTTTATTTATTTGTTTATATTTGCGAAATGAAGCATAAAAGTCATCGCACTCACTGGATTGTGATTGGTCACTCGTTTTAATATTTCCTCAAATGTTGTATATTGTGACCCGTCAACGCTAAATGTTTACCAGCCCGTTTCGCTTCCATTTAACTGCCACGTCTTTTGCCAATTCATTGCAATATGTGCTCCAACTTCGGTTCATGAAATCCCAACGTAATGTGTGATAAGTTCAACGTGTTGTGTGATAACGGATGGTGTCGCAAAGATTCGTCATAAGGATGCTGCATCTCACCGATCGCTTTCTTCAACGATCCTAATATCACAAATACAAGTGCTAACACCCAGCATGTTTGACTACCCCCGAGCCAATTTATTCGCACAAAGGAGGTTGAGGATCACTTGATAGCGACTGAAGTCTACGCTGTGTTTCCGTCCGTCTACGATCGCTGTGGAAACCATAAATAGCTACCAATGACACGTGAAAATGGTGACTTCTGTCGATATCTCGTCCAATATTACAATTAGACATGCGCAGATGCCTCGTAGTATAAAAGTTGCCATTTTCATGTTTTATCGGCGCGAGCTGTAGGTGTTATAAGCACGCCGCGTTCATCAAGCCTCAGTAATTATTTTTGTAAGACTACGCCAGTCATAGCGTATATTTATCGAGCGCAAGCATGTACTTCAGAATGCTCGTAACAGAAGGTAGACCGTGACGTACGTTGTAACGGTCTGCTAGCCGCGTTTTACTATTGCCAAAAGATGACCACGACATCTTTTTTGTCGTGGAAGTCGCAACTAAAGTCGTGGTATACAGCTAGGATGTAATCTACGACGGGGGCTAAGGCAACATTCAATCGTGAAATCAACGGGTGCAGAACACCGCACAACCGCAAGATCGTCGACTGCATATTTGCGCATGCTGGTCATCGTGACCGCTATGAACGTTGCAAAAGGATTGTGGTCTAGCATCACCCGGTGCTACATGCAAATAGTAAGCCAACAATACCGCCAATGAGCGCATGCATTCTTTGCTGTCAAAGACGATGAGAGGGACTACTTACTATGGCAGCACTAACGATCGTATATATTGCGATGCATGTTGACTTTGTTGACATTCGTTCGATGATTTCATGGACTCTGACTAACCAACTCATCGACGTGGACGTCCCAGTTTCCTGCCGAGAGCATTCGCTCTCACTGATCAATCGTTCGATATAGAAACTACGAGGCGTTACGATTCGGACGGCCAACGATCGGGCCACGCAAACTCAGTGCTTACATGAACATGAAAAAGACTGGTTATTTCCAACGAAGCAAGTTGTATTAAGCGCACAAACAAGTCTTACCAAGCTACAGTGTTTGTTGTCCGTCGCCACTTGGTTGATCGAATGCAGTAAACAAGATGCCTATGCTTTCCACTCGTTTGGTCTAAAGTATGTGTAGGCCCATTCCACCAGTTTGTTTGATTCTCCCTCGTATTCGAGGTACTTGTCGAAACACAGATATTTCGCGTACTGCGACCCATCGAAGGAGTCACTATTGATGACATCTTTCTTCGAGTTGTTGTCGGCAATGATGGACGATTTCAGACCAAGCAGCTTTCGGTATGCTTCTCGAGTAACGCCGCGCGCCTTCATCTTTTCGAACTGTGGTTGGTACGTCTTGATCTCCATCTCAACGAGGTTCCACTTTGTAGCGAGTACGTTATTCTGTAAGTCTCTTTCATTCACCTTCCAATGTTTTAGATCCGATTTCCACTGATCTCTTTTCTCCAGAAACGTCCGTTCGCTCTCCACCATCTCAATCTCCAGCGACAGTCTTTGGGTATTCAGGGATGGTGATTCCGCTTCGTCAGCTATGGTGTCTAGTTTCGCTATCCAAGCTGCTTCAGTCGTCTCCCAGGCTGCTTTGGTCTTCTCCCAGGCTCCTTCTTTCTCTTTCCAGGCAGCACGGGCGATCTGCAGACTAGCCTTATCTTTCGTCAGTAAATCCCCGTATAACTTTTTCTTGGCGGTCTCAGTAACACGAGAGGCCTCTCCTCTCTTTCTCCAGGCAACCTTGTCTTTTTTCCCCGTAACACCTCCTTTCTCCCAGACATCGTCCGCCTTCTGCAAAACCTTCTCCTCCTTTGTCAGAGCAGACTTCGCCTTCTTCCAAAATGCAGACCTACTCGCCATCCAAGCAATCCAGTCGTGCATCTTCTCCGAAGCCGCCTTCAAATGCTCCTCCAACCCAGAAGGCAAAACTGACGCTCTTTCTTCACCAACAGCAGCAGCAGTTATGTCTTCGCTTGGTTCGAGCGCTTGTCTTCCGCGCACCTTGTACTTCGCAGCCTGCTCGTTGACGGAAATAGTGCCATCAGGCACCGTGCTGGCCGTAATAGCCAGGAAAGCGTCACTGACAGCACCTGGACTGATTAAGAGCACGAAGAGAAGGAAGCGCTTGATCATCGGAGACGCCAATACTCGCAGTCAATGGGCGGGGAGAAGAGGGGAATGAGGTCCGAAGTAGTTCTGACGACCACCAAGCAAATTTGAAACTGGTGTTTGTGAGAAATTCTTGATGGAAGATGGACTCGTCACCTCGAGCCACGGCTCTGCGCCACATGCGTGCCTGTGGCGGAGAGACATGCCTGGACCAGTTCACGCTGGCTAGACATCAGGTGGCTACCGAAGTCGAACTGTATGGCCTCAGACCTTCACGATTGTTCATTAGACGAGGATCCTTCTGCTGTCGTCAGACTCGCAATGTGACGATGATGTGCCAATGAAGAGGAACACTAGCACAGTATGCACTGAGGTACAATCGGGGTACGAGGATGCCATCTGGTCCCGTGGAAGGGAAAGAAACTTGAATAGATCCGTGTCCATGTCGCACGTGGTACATAGGCGGCATGCGTGCATACCACAGGATCTGCAGCTTGGCAGCCTTTTTCTTTCAGTTACGCTTCAGTTGATCGAACGACCACGTTTTTTCTACTCTACCGACAGTCATCCTTTGATGGACCTTGAGACACGACATTCGAGTGTATCTTCCCTGTTGCCGCTGCCCCGATCGAGCCTTATGGTGTTTGCACGGTCATGTGCCGCTGTTCAGAGAAGGCAGGTCTCGACGGCTCTTCTTGCTTGCTTTGCAAAGTGCAGCAATCAGCGCAAACTTTGTTCTTGCCCGCTCAGACTTGTTGGCTTCGGACACATCTCGATCAAGCAGCACACGCCTGTTTTGCAGCGGTAGCGAGCAGTTAAGTGTCGCGATGGCAACACAAGCTCAACCACCACAAAACGCACCTCCATTGTGGATCAGCGTCGGCGTAGTGAAGACGGCGATCGTGTAGCGCTTTTCCGTTTTGTCGTGTGTGCAGCCTCCGTGTGACTAGCATTCATATCACGCCACATGTTTTTTTTGGTTACAGATGGTCTATTTACACGAAATTAATTATTTGCATGAGCTCTGGTACGGCCTTAGCCAAGATGTCAGCGCCAGTGAACCCGGGGGCTGTTCATGACTCGACCCAGTTGTGACTGGTGGGTGACCTTTGTGGTTTACACTCGAGTAGCTCGATACAAGCGTACATCATGGCACCCTCGACAGCCGGTGATTCATGTCTGTGTTCTCGTGTCGCGATTGCGCGAAGTTGTTGGATGCATGTAGCCCAAAATCTGGACGTGGTGCCTGTGATGTCCTTCGAAAATGACTGATACACCGCGTCATTTCGGTCAGTCCACAGCTTAGTTTGACATAACGTCGCAAGAATAAACCATATTCGCTTCCACACCCGTTCTGCTGCCTCCTAATTTTCCTGAAACCTGTCGGCTAAGGTGCTCTTCCGATGTGCGGGTATGCTGCCGATTCTTCGACTAGCACATGCTCCAAAAAATGGTGCGTGACCTGACGAGATGCCCGCTCTCCCGTCCAGTGCCCAAGTAGCTTCCTCCACACCCCACAGCGTAGGGGCAGTCCCAAAACAGGTGCACCCATGTTTCCACACAACACATACACCCAGGTCGCTTGCGACACGTGCTGTTTTCCACTCGTCCTGCATGGTATAGATTAAGTTGGCCTGTCGCAATCCTATATCCCGTCCAGACTTGATAAGTCGTAAGACCTTGACTATAGTCCCATACTTGCTTCGGTGTTTGGCTCAGTGCCGCTCCATGCCAATTATCCTTCGTCGCCCGTTCTTCCAGACGGTCCAAGAAATTCTTTAAGGGACGTGTACCACGCCACTTGTACCGCCTGTCACATTCTTCAACCTTGCAGATCGCGTACTCACCTGCGCGTAAAGAACACACGAGAGGATAGTGCGTAAGATGGGGCAGCGAGTTTCACTTTGTCTACTGCACGAGGATGTGAAACTGCCTTGCTTCTAGCAGAATCCTCGGCTCTGCGCGTGACACTTGTCAGAACTAGTTACGTATCAGTTGTGTATCAAGCTACGCTCTTCTCCCTACCTTCAGTGTTGTCTGTGCCTCAGTCTTGAAACTGGGACAAGACTAGCTAGGGCTGTACGAGAAGGGTTTTTACCGAAAGGTTTTCCTCTCGACTTTCTTCAGTAAAGTACTTAACACTTGCACTCTATATTGCATCACTTGCCGTCTGATATGCACAAACAAGCTCTACCAGCTACGAGTCAGCGACTATTTGCAACTTGAGAGCCACAAGAGAGCTGTGGACTCACTCCGAGTCGGATGCGAAAACCATGACCACCACCTGATGTTCATGACTAGACTTGCTGTTTGCATGTAGGAGCTATTCAGCTGTCGTATCTGCATCTCGTACTGGACTTGTCTGTCTCTGTCAAGCAACACTTGTCCAGGGAAGGGACACAACCAAAATGAGCTCCCGTTTCACTGGTCCATATTTACGATAGACTTAAGCTTTATAGTAGTAGCGACGTGGCTGTCAGTGCCCAGAATACGCTCAGTGGAGCTCCGAGGGTCGAGACTGTGGCCGCATCTGTGTCGTAGCCGGAACCAGAGTCCCATCGAGAGGCAAACTTGGTGGAAACGGGGACGAGGCCAGCAGAAGTCACACTGATTTGTTTGTGGCCGTAGACTTGAGACGAGATCGTCAACACGATCAAAACCGTATCGCTGATAGACACGCAGTTGACGCGACGTTGAGCTCGACTCTCTTATTGTCGTTTGTCAAGTGGATATGTGCGACTGAGCCGCTCGCTCGTTTTAGCTCGAACAGTGAAGGCCGATAGAGTTACCTACCCTTTTATCTATATCTTCCGTTTCCTCTTGCTACCCAGCGACAATCAGGAGACAAAAGATCATATCTGTACGCACGATAGGCGCGCTTTCTCTGTTTTATTCCTGCTGCGACCTCACTTCTCTTTTCCTTTTCGAAGCTGTTATACAGCTGCGTACAAGCGCCAACCAGCATTATGTTGTATACACTGAACATGCAACGGGGTACCTCCGTTTCGTGATATTTTACATAGAGGTAAGTATTATCAAGTATGAATGACATGCTAAGACTGCCATCACATTCTCACTATATTATTAATTTAAGATGTGATATTGAACTGCAGAAGTGATAAACGGCTCAGTGTTTGAAAATGATTAATGTTAGAACACGAAGAATACCGCACTCCTTCTAAGTCCTAACACAGTCCGTTGAGACGTGACCAGTTTATGACATCACTTGACTACTCCTTTTTGGTAACAAAGAAGATCAGGCATACACCTATCCTACCTGATCTTTCCTAGTCATCCACATACAAAGGATTAAGTTATTACCACCACACTTTTTACCAATTCCACCAGCCTATTACTAGTTCCACCACACCAAACCTTTTGTGAGAATTATGATCGGTCCACCATACTACACCACCAGGGCAAAACACCCCCATTTACGTGTTCAACAAAGATCTTTGAATAGCGCTCTACCGAATTGTTGAAAACGCCAGTGAAGGTTTTAAAACGATCGGCTGATGTAATTTCCTTTAATATCTCACAGCCGTGCGCGACTTGCCGTTTGATCTGCTGAGCAACAAAATCGCAAGTTTATGCTTCATACTAGCTTAAGTTCTTCCTGTCAATTCATTGTGTGTTGTTATACGTCCAGGAAGTAGATTAATGTGCTTTGACCACGTGGATTTGCTGACTTGCACAAATTAATTTTACAGTATGTTAAGAGCTATCGATCGTCCTCTCGCTCATAAAAAATTGCTCGAATAATGCAATTTTTTGCACCGCTTCAATTTCCTGCAGAATTTGGACTGTCAGTCTCACATTCGATGGGATTCTCAGCACCGCCGTTTTGGCGCCGCATCTTCAGCAATGTAGCGGAGCTACACAGCTCCTTAAGTCAGAGGAAGACTTAACGCTCTACGAGCAACTTAGTTCCAAGGAACTAACGACTTTACGAGTCGTCAAGCTTTATAGCCTTAGATCCCTGTTCCAGGGGACCTAACGATTCAGTGAATCGACAGCACTTAGTGCTCAAGAGTAGCTACCTCAAGGAGGTGTCGCTAACTCTCAGTGATCAGAGATCAACGATCAAGACGGCTCGCAAGCCACGTGTCTTTCAGATTAAAATGAGAACTGATTTTATTTTTGTTAAAGCCTATAGAATATCTTAATCCTACTCAAAGGTCTTTCGTATCTAATGGCTGACACTCGTCAGCCCCTACAAACCGATAAGATATTCTATATCACCTTCACAGAAGCGAACCCTCAGGTGTGTAACACCTCTGGTACAAAGTACCATGATTTCGTGCAACCCCGTTACACCCTCCCCCACCAGACTGACGTTTGCCAAAACGTCAATCGAACTCGTGTTCTCAGCGAGAACAGTGCGCGTACGGTGAACCTCACGGTAACGTACGCTCCAGCACGATGTCCTCATCACCAAACGAGTCAAAGGCTCTGTGTGACTACCTCGGAATAGAGGAAGAGGTGGTCTATGATAGCGATACCAGTGTCCGCGGTGACACAGGGACAACGTCCGGCTCACTGATGCCTGAGGCACAACTTTCGAACACCCCAAATCCGTTCGCTGAACGTGGAGGTGCGAGCGCGCCGCCAGCGCAGCATGCAGCATCTGGTTCTGATGAGACTATCATCACGAACCCGCTCGATGAGCAACAACAACTGCTTGTTCAAAGAGAAGAAAACGCTCAGCGTTATGCACAGATGACTGCAACCCTTGAACGCCAGCGTGATTATGTGTCCACCCCACCCAGTGTGGAGGAACGTCTGCGTCAAGTGGCCGGTCAAACATTGGCAACGTGGGTCATTGGCCATGGGCCTAAGACTCCTGAGGAGGTGGTGAGCTGCCAGGCACTTCGTGAGATGTACCTGGAGCCGCACCTAACGACTCAAAGTCAATACAAGGCACGCCTTGACATGCAAGCACGTGGTGCACCAGTTCCACCGATGAAGGGTATACCCATTCTCCTGCTCGCAGGCGAAACAGCGAGTGAAGAAGACGATGCCTTTGTTCACTGGGTGCACTATGTGCGTCGCCTCAGCAACATTTTTGCTCTAAGGGCTAGTGCCCATGCGGCGGATGTGCGTCTCGAACGCAAGCTTCGGTATGATTATGCCAAGCTTAAGGCCAGAGGCCAATTGCGCAAGCGCACGCGCTATGCTTCGGCTACTAAGATAGCCGCGAGTGCTGGTCAGTCTGTGACCAACAACCCGCCAACCCGCACCACTAGTGGTGGTGAACGGCCTCGGCCTCGAGATGACCATGGCCACGACGCTCAAAAGCCTCCAAAGCATATGGGCAGTCTTGCCGAAGGGGTACCTCAAATTCCCATGAGTTTTCAGACTCAGGGTACCCACTCCACTTTACCAGATACTGGTATTGGCCCTGACGACGACGTCGTCTCAGTAGTCTCTCGACATGGAATTGACGACACCCATGCTCATCGAGCAAAGTCGGTGGCAGCCGGTGTACCGGTGGAGGCCCACGAGAAATTGGTTCTCGAATTGAAGGGTCTTCAAGAGGCCTTGGGTAAGTCGCAGTGCATGCTGGATGCGATGCAAAGCCGCATTCAGGCGATAAAGCAAGCTCAAACTCGGAGCGAGGCTCAGTTGGACTTGCTGATTCGTCTACAGCAATCCGGGGCAGTGCCCTTGTCGTCGGCGCAAGCGCCTCCAAGTTCACATGGGAAGGATCCCGGTACGGCTTAAGTAAGCCTACGTAGAACACTGGATGTGTGCGCAATTTGCGCGGGAGGTTTAGCGTATACGCAAGTCCCTTCTTGGCCGTGACCGTAAACGGTCCAATAAACGTGGACGCAACTTTGTCTTAAAGACAGCAGACACTACATTTGTAGGTAGATTTTTAGCATTGAGTAGTACTTGGTCTCCGACCTCATAACGCTCAATACAATTTCTGCCTTTGGCATCAGCTTGTTGTTTTTGGGTATCTTGGCTATCAGCCATTGCGTCACGCACATGTCTTAAGACATTTAATCGCGTTGCGAGAAACTTGCTTACCTGTTTTTGAACAGTAGCAGGGCTGATATCAGCAAGCCGATCGGCAACCTCTCCCCCACCAAGCCCTGATTCACGTTGTGATAGCGTTAACGGAACGCGAGGGTGAGTGAGACCGTTTATATAGAACGGAGTAAAGCCTGTTGAGGCATGAACAGCGTTATTCAACGCAAACTCAACAACAGGGAGCATTGAGCTCCAACGCCTAGGCGTATCAGCGCAAACACTGCGCAAAATGTCGTTGATGACGCGGTTTACACGCTCAGTTTGACCGTCGGTCTAAGGATGATCCGCTGTGGACATGTCCAACCGAGTGCCAAGCACCTTGAAGATAGACTTCCAAAACTTCCCAGTGAAGCGGGGGTCTCTATCAGAGATAATTGCCACAGGCAAGCCATGTTGGCGAAAGACACGGTCGATAAACAGCTTTGCTGTACCTTCAGCATCAATGCTATCCGGCACAGCCGCTAAGTGAGCCATCTTGCTCAATCGGTCAACAAAGACCACAATACCAGTGTTGCCTTCCGAATCTTTCGGTAGGCCAAACACAAAATCCATGCTCATGGACTCCCAACAACCACTGGGTACCGGCAAACTAGCCAGCGGCGCCGCCGCATGTGCCGAGGGTTTTACCCGTTGACACCATTTCGCACGTACGCACATAGGTGCGCACCCACTTATAAAGTTTGGGCCACCAATAACTTTGGCTCACCGAGCTATAAGTCTTCTCACGTTCGAGATGACCACTTAAAGCAGTATCATGTGCCTCATATAGGATCCAATACTTTAATTCCTCATCATGAGGTACTACGATACGAGGGTTGTCCTCAATATCCGTGCGATAGCACAACATGCCATTATCGATGGAATATCGATGTAGCCTCGCACGTAAACGTGCCGTCAATTCTATGTCCGAGTCTTTAAACTCATCGCTCCCAAGAGCACGTAGCAAAGCTACACACTGATCGTCCTTGACATATGCCGCACGAATTAAGTCAGGGACTGACGACGACAGGGTCGTAACATGAGCAAGCTCATAGTGAGGTCGACGCGATAGCGCATCAGCCAAAGCATTTTGCTTACCTGGCTTGTACTCTACCTCGAAGTTATATTCGGCAAAGAAGGAAACCCAACGAGCCATTCTCTGTAAGAGATGAGGCGACTGTGTCGCAGTGTGTAATGACGCATGATCTGTGTAAATGCAAGCGGCTTTGAGCCAAGTAGATGTACTCTGAATTTGACAAGAGCGTACTTCATAGCAAGTAGATCTTTGTCATGAATTGAGTCGTTCTTTTCAGCAGCTTTCAGCTGCCGAGATTCAAATGCGATGACGCGTTCGCGTCCGTCGACATCTGTTTGTAACAGAGCACTGCCTATGGCAAAGTCAGATGCGTCACAGACGACACTGAAAGGCCGACCAGAATCGGGCAAAGCCAATATTGGCGCATGAAGGAGACTCTCCTTAACTGCTTCAAAAGCATTATGCTCGGTGCTACCCCAACACCAACCCACATCCTTTTTAAGGAGATTGAACAATGGCCGAGCCATATCTGCGTAATTTGCACTGTACTTATGTGAGTAATTGGCAAGGCCAAGCCACTTACGCAAGTCCTTTTGGTTCTTGGGGACTGGCCAATCGACTATGGCTTTTACCTTAGCGGGATCCGCTCGAAGGCCTCGCTTCCCAATGAAGCACCCTAGAAAGGAATCTCTTCTGCACCAAAGATGCACTTCGATGCGTTCGCATACAGCTTATTCATCCGCATACACCCGAGCACCGCTCGTAAATGATCGATGTGATTATCCACATCTGATCACCCATTCATTGCACGACTATGGACAAAAATGTCATCAAAGTACGTTTGTGCATAGCCTCGATGAGGTCTGAATAGTTGCGTTACCAACCGGTTAAATGTAGCCGGGGCGTTAGATAGCCCTTGTGGCATAACGAGCCACTCCCAAAGCATACCGCTCGGAGTACTCACCGCTGTTAGCGGAATATCGCTTGCTCGCATGAGCAGTTGGTAATAACCATCGACTAAGTCGAGTGCACTGTACAGTGTACATCCCGCCATATTGTTCTGAAGAACATCCTTTCTAGGAATAGGCGTCTGCGCCGGTATAGTGGCTGCATTAAGCTTATTGTAAGCATACACAATACGCCACTTGCCATTTGGCTTTCTGACACAAAATGTCGGTGTTGAATGGGGAGATTTACTCTCACGAACCATTTCAGCCGCGTGCTTAGCACGAAAGAAATCGTCAATGACGTCGCACTGTTCTTTAGGCAAAGGCCACTGCCGTGTTACACAGTATTTAGTTCCAGGAACCAAGTCAATCTCATGACGTACACCTCTATCGGGAGGTAAGGCAGAAGGTGGGTTGTGACACACCACATCTTGAAATTCCTTGACTAAAGGATAGAAGGATCCAAAGGATCTTTAAGGATCGAAGATCCACTTCGTGCACTAAGTGCCGCCTTTGTATCCTCTAGGACAGACTCTCCATTTAACGAGGAAGAATTTAAGTCAGTATCAGGTCTAATGATTGCTAACTCGGATAACTCTCCTGCCTTCAAGGCCTGGCTAAACTCGCCATCAGACATTCCGTCTAGCTCACACAGAGCGTCCACAGATGGAAGGGTTTCGAGGCTCACATTGCCATTAACCTGACCAGTCACTCCATTAACAAGTGTATATAGTGTATTGCTAATCTCACTATGTGACTGTGAGGACGCCTGGCGCTTTACAGCTGCTACTCGGCGTCTCGATTGTCTCTTCGAGACCTTACACCCCTTAGGGGTCGGGACAATATTGTCCCCATGGTTACTTCCAACCATAGTACGCTATACACGAGAGCTTTTGTCTTGACCGACATTAGGTGTGGTGCCCTCACGGCCGTCCACACTATACGGCGTATCGCCAACAGTGTCATTACTGACATTAGGTGTGGTGCCCTTACGGCCGCCCACACTATACGGCGTATCGCCAACAACGCCATTACCGGCGTTAAGCGTGGTGCCTTCACGGCCGTCCACTCTATACGGCGTATCGCCAGCAATATCATTACTGACATTAGGTGTGGTGCCCTCACGGCCGCCCACACCATATGGCGAATCGCCAACAACGCCATTACCGACATTCAGTGCGGTGCTCTCACGGCCGACCGCACTCGGTGTAATTTCACGTGCCACCATACACACATCAAAGGAATCACGACCTTGATCACTCGGCCCTAGGCCAACCATGCTTTCAGCATGCAGTGACTCGTTATCACAACGAGTACCACTCAACGGAGTACGTGCCGTTTCACTAGTTTTAGACGAGCTAGGCTCGAAACTTATGTTTTTAACATTGGAGTTAGATAACTCGGACATTCCAATATCCAGCACATTGACATCTTCTGTCAAAGGCTCGCGCCAATAGCGCTTCTGCTGCCTAGCAAAGGTGGGTTCATTACTCCCCAAAGCTTCGCTAGGAACATTGCGCGCAGCGCCTAAGGTCTTGGACCTCCAATCAATCCATGGCTCATGGCGCTCAAGCCAAGCCATACCTAGGATGAGATCATGTCTCGAGCCCAAATCTAGGACAAGACAGCGCTCAATACTGTCAAAGTCTAAAAACTTTATACCTAAGTTCAATGGAACTTTAGGCACCGTTACGCGACTTCCAGTCGCTAAACGAACCGTGATAGAATCACCCTCATGCGCTGTAAGCGCCTCAGCATAACGCTGACTTCCCTCAAGGGAACGGCGTCGAGCATAATTGCAAGACGCTCCAGAATCGATCAATATCGACCAAGGCTTCTCGAAGCCCTTAATTTTCGCCTCGGCGACCAACAAGCCAGACTTGTATCCACGCACCATACCCGTAGGTATGGTACTCTTTGGGGCTAAGCCCTGCATTCCTTTACCTTCTAAAGGTGTAACAGAACATTGTTCTTCCCCAGTAGGGCGCCCCGCGCCTACTGGGTGTCGGCATTTCCCCGTGCTATGCCAGACTTCAGACTCGGGCTCGAGTGTTGGCTCGTAGTCTGGCGTTGCTTACGCAAAGGGCAACCAGGCCGCAAGTGTTTAGTGCTTCCGCACGTAAAGCATCGTCTTACAACGTGTTTCTGCTCAGCAGCTTGAAGCTCAGCTTCACCTCCATCTTCAGCATAGCTGATATCCATCGGTTCCGGCCTATTATAGGCAGTGGTACCCGAAAAGTTTGCTCTCACAGAGCGAGGATTGTATCCGTTCCAACCAAGTCTGGCCAGCTTGAAGTTATGCTCAGCATTAAGAGCAATTCTCACAGCCTCTTCAAACGTAGAGGGGTGAACCCGAAAAACTTCGGTTCTGGCAATGCCAGTACGTAGACCTTCCATGAAGATAGTCACATGGACTGCTTCAGGCAAAGGGTCAGACTGCATTGCAGCCATGAGCGTTCGCAGCTCTTGGACATAGTCCGATAATTCATTCTTACCCTGGCGGGTAGAAAGAAAGCGTGAGCGCACGCGGTAAGCCTGGTTAGGTGGAGAAAACACCTGTACCAATTGTAACTTGAGCGACTCCCATGTGGGAAACGCTATGTCCACCGACGTGCTACACGTCAAGGCCCATTCTCTAGCTCTACCATCGAGCTTCGAGATAGACAGCGAGACCTGTTGATGGTCAAGCGTGATCAGGCCTGATCTCATGGCCATCTCGATCTCACGGATCCAGAGGATGAGGTTCTCGCCCTCCTTACCGGAGTAGTTTTTTACTTCCACTCTAAGTGGACGAGGCTTAGCCTCTTCGTCTGGTACAGACACGTAGCGTGTAGGCATAGCCGACGCTATTTGGTCTTGGACCTACCCTAAAAGGGTCGCTTCATACTGCATGAAGCTTTCAACACGTGCATTAAGCACATCAGGGCCTTGTGAAACAAGGAACTCCACGTACTCTGGACCCAAAGATGCGGTCAGCTTATCAAGCGCGACCTTTTGGGCCTCAGATAGGGGAGTGATGTTTTCCATCCTCACAGAGGATCAGTCTTAAAGACTCAGGAGTAGATTGACTACAAGTGCTACCAAGTGTAGCGGAGCTACACAGCTCCTTAAGTCAGAGGAAGACTTAACGCTCTACGAGCAACTTAGTTCCAAGGAACTAACGACTTTACGAGTCGTCAAGCTTTATAGCCTTAGATCCCTGTTCCAGGGGACCTAACGATTCAGTGAATCGACAGCACTTAGTGCTCAAGAGTAGCTACCTCAAGGAGGTGTCGCTAACTCTCAGTGATCAGAGATCAACGATCAAGACGGCTCGCAAGCCACGTGTCTTTCAGATCAAAATGGGAACTGATTTTATTTTTGTTAAAGCCTATAGAATATCTTAATCCTACTCAAAGGTCTTTCGTATCTAATGGCTGACACTCGTCAGCCCCTACAAACCGATAAGATATTCTATATCACCTTCACAGAAGCGAACCCTCAGGTGTGTAACACCTCTGGTACAAAGTACCTTGATTTCGTGCAACCCCGTTACAAGCAATGTGTACACATCGCTCTTGCCGCGTGCGCGTCTTTCTGGTACTCGTATAAAAAGCCAGTAATGATATCCACCTAAAGATTCTTAATCACCACCCACAGCAGACACCCCCTCCCGGTACCGTGTCTTATCTCACTCTTCATCCTTGTACTCGTCGCCGCTCGTTTCTCGTGTGGTGGGCGCTGGCGAGGACGCAGTGGTATCAGCTTGTCATCAAGTTTTTGAGCTGATACCAAAGCAATGGGTGGTGTTACTTGAGCAAATTACAATCGTCAATGAAATGAAAGGGTTCAATTTGTCGACTTTAAACTCGAGGGTGGCTACCGAAAGCGCAGGCACCAGCAAGGGACGGATTAGTTTGTGTTGGAAAGTTGACATATTAGATGCTCCCTTTGTCTTAGTATTACACATTTTATGAATGGTACAACCAGAAAACTCTCCTACTACCCGTACAGTATTTTTTTGCATAAAACAAGAGCGTGTAGTGGTGTGGTAGCGTGGTAAGATTTACTAAAAACTGTATATAATCAAAGTTACGTTGTGGTGGAAATCGTAAAAAGTGTGGTGAAATAACAAATTTAAATATGCGAGCAGTTGTCAATTCGCCGTCCACGAAGCAGTGATTTGGCCAAAGGCACAGCCTAGCTAAAGGTAGACCGCGACAGCGTGGGTGTGACAGGGCACTGGTCAGTACTGCTGCTTCAGTACAAGTGCACCTACACAACACCTACACTGACAACAGTGTAGGTAGTACCGCGCATCACTTCGTGTAATCTTTAAGCGTAGAAGAAGGCTAGCTAATAAACGACGCGTTTAATAGGAATCGAAAATAGAACTGTAGTAATTATAATTAAGTCCTAAATATGTGTGCGCTTGTTTAGTCCTAACTCAATTATGATTATCTACGAAATTCTATGCTAATGTCTTGCTCACCCCTCATTTTGCGCGTCCATCGTTGATTGGACTGCTAGAGCCGGCTGATGTGATGGCCCTGATCAGCCAATCGGCGATTGTTTTGAAATATTATCCCTTATAGTAATATTCAAGAACATTGTTAGCCCTGATAACTTTACTCTAAGTAACAAGTATCAAAGTTGATTACATATAACAGGTTCGCCCCGTTACATCACTTCCCTAGACGATAGTCATTCTGTCACTATCATGTTGATGTGGTTACAGTTAGATTATATCAGGGACGTTGAGCAATTGATATAGAAATTTACTAATTTCTGGATAATCATCGCATGGTGAAAAAGTCCGTGCGATGCGCGGCGGATGCTGCTAAGAAGACAGCTGGACGTGTTCACGCGGCTGATCTTGAAGATGCTCAGCCTCTTGCGGCATACGACGCTTCGTCTGCTCCCGCTTTAACTTCCTGCAGCACCAGTTGCTGCAGAGGCACGTATTGTGTCACCACGGGCTTACGATATTGATGTTTCCCGAGTGGAACTCATCCATTCGAAGGAGTCGGAAGGTGATTCCGACTCAAAGAACCCGTCTAGGTCAATTAAGTCTCAAAGATAGAACTAGTACGAGCCTAAGAATAGTATTTGAGCGACTAGTCAGGCTTATAATCGCTACTATTGCCTGTTTGGTTCGAAGGATGAGTATTCATGCTCATCCCCTGCGCCTGCTACTGCGCATTCGCTTCCTAATAATTTGATGATAAATTGCATGTCATGATAACGATCGTAGTGGTACCAAAACTTCGGTTGGTGTCAGGCAGGGGTCTCTGAGAGCAATGCGCTGCGTCTTGCCCACGAACACGAGCCTTGGGCACTTCCTAAAGGAATGTAATGACTTGGTAAGACAAGTCAACATCATCGAATCCCCTTGTTCGATGCAAGGCTGTTGCACGGCCTCAAAATCGGCGCGAGCAGCTTTTGCGCTGAAAAGGATATTCATCTCGATGTTTGCATAAGCATCTTTAATATATTGTCAACAACAAACCATGTAAAAGCTCGTTGCTGCAGGCGGAAACGTCTTTCATACTCAATGTGCAGCTCATTGAACGTGATGCCTGGATACGTAAACTTACCACAGCTCGTATCAGAGGTAGAAAATGAACTTCAACCGGTTCCTCAAGTGGGAGAACCATAATGTGTTGTTTTGACAACACGCGACTTAGCCAAAGGGACATTTAATCCCTATCTTTGCCCTCAGGTTGGGTGCACATCTATTCTGAAATGCGCGATGCAATTGCTGACCTGAAATCTCTCTACCATCGCCATAGGCGCGAGATATCCGATGCTCCTTCTGATTCATTGGATGTGTCTCGTCGTATCGGTAAACGAGACCCTCAACGTCAATTATCGGTTGGGTGCGGGGCTCTTTGCTGTCGTGCAACAGCGGATAGCCGTTCCTGCAAACAAGAATACTCGTTCGCTGCCCCTTATTTCACTGTGGTCTAAGATACGTTCTTTGTGAAAGGGTTGACCACCGTGCGAGTCCACCAAAGGCTGTGTTAGAGGTTGTTAGATCAACTACAAATCATGTGTTGGAGTTGCAAACGGAGCTAGATTGTGTTCAGCAACATTTAAGTAATCAGTGCGATTGCACCGATCAAAAAGGACAGGAACGCATCTCTATGAAGTCATGGATGCGACGCCTCCGCCTACATCGGTCTGATGACCGAGAGGAGTTCTATTTCCACAAATTGAAGAAATAGTCGAGACGTTAAGCCTTTTGCGAAGAAGTGTCTGACATTTGTCACCAAAAAGTGGCTCTACAGAATCAGGTTA